TGCATGTTCGATCTATCTCCGACTGTAAAAGTTGGTAGAAATCATCTAATTCTTCTTCTTTGGCTCTGGTTGTTGGTGCATATATCTGAATGATAGTGGTATTTACTGGGCTCCCCTTAAATCATTTTTTTAATCAATTTTAATGAAAATTTACAGAGACTTTGGATTTCCATTCATTCACTGTTGTACTTTTCTTCCAAAATGGATGTCAGAAAAGACTCTGAAAATTGCATGAAAGCACTGAGAAGCAAAAACAAAGGAAAAATACACTGAGGTAAAATATCTAAAGAGAAGATTTCAAAGGGAAGCTCAAAAAGACAAAGTATTATAATGAAGTGTCTAGAGAGCTAGAACTGGAGAAGAAAAAGGGAAGAACTAGCCCTGCAATTCTAAGCTGAGAGAACTAAAAAACAAATTTAAGCTTTAACTCGCAATACTGAAAGATGCTATGGGCAGTATGTTGAAAGACTGAGGAAATATCAAAAGAAGAGGAAAAAAAGAGACGATGGAGGGAATCATTGTACCAAAAAAACCTGACAGACACTGAAAAATTTCGTGATGTATCACGTAAGCAGGAGTGAAGGAGGAAGTTGAAATTGCATTAAAGGCATTGGTTAAAGAGAAGTCCCCAGAAATTGATAACAATTGACTTGTTTCAATTAACAGATGGCTTACCAGTCTATGCCAGAAAATCTGTATGACCAATAGATGGGAAGAGATGCCTATTTATTCTCATTCCTAAGAAAGGTGATCCCAGAGAGCGTGGAAACTACTGAACAGTATCACTAATATCACATACAAAATACTGCTAAAGATCATTCAAAAACAGCTAGAATAGTACAAAGTTAGAGAACTGCCAGAAGTTCAAGTAGGATTTAGAAGATGCTGTGGCACCAGGGATATCATTGCTGATGTCAGATGGATCCTGGATGAAAGTAAATAATATCAGAAGAAATGTCTATTTGTGTTTATTGACTATGCAAAGGCATTTGACTTTGTCGATAATAACAAGTTATGGCTGATACAAGAAGAATGGGAGTCCCCTACCTGGTTTAAGATTAAGAAGGGAGTGCATCAGGGTTGTATTCTTTCTCTAGAATTATTCAGTATGTATGTTAAGCAAATTATTCAAGAAGCTGGAGTCTATAAAGAGAAATATGGCATCAGGATCAGAGGGAGACTAATCAATAACCTTAGTTATGCAGATGACGCAACCCTGCTTGCTCAAGGTGAGGAGGACTTGTAGCACTTGTTGCAGAAGATCAAAGACTAGAGCTTTCAATATGGATTGGATCTCCACATCAAGAAAATAAAAATTCTGAGCACTGCTCTGTTAGGCAACATCATGAGAGATGGAGAAAAGACTGAAACGAAACTGTCAATAATTTAATCTTACTTGGATCCATAGTCAGGAAATAAGGAGGTGTATTGCACTGGGAAAGTCAGCAGACAGGGATCTCTCCAAATTACTGAAGTGCAGTGATGTCAGTTTGAGGACTAAGATGCAAGTGATTCAGGCCATGGTCTTTCCAGTTATTTGCTATGCATCTGAGAGTCAGACAATGAATAAGGATGACAGAAGAAAAATTGATGCCTTTGAGTGCTGATGCTGGAGAAGAGTACTGAAGATCCCATGGACTGCCAAAAGAACAAACAAGAAGAAAGGGAAGGCAAGGGGAGCTCTGGTGGCCTAGTGGTAAGGAGCCGCAACTACAATCCTAGAGGCGCACGGTTCGAATCCACCAGATGCTCTGCCGGGGAAAGAGGGACAATCTCCTCCTGTACCAGTCAGATCTGATTTGACGGTACACTCACACAAAAATAATAAAATTAAAAAAAAAAATTTAAAAAAAAAGGGAAGGCAGAGAGCACCAGGGGGTAAAAGATTATGAGGCTTTGCCTCATATACTTTGGGCATGTTGCTGGGAGAGATCATTCCTGGACATGAACATCATGCTTGGAAGGGCAGGGGGTTGGCAAAGGAGAGGAAGAGCCTCAACCAGGTGGACAGACACTTTGATTGTGGCACTGTGCTCTACTATGTCAGGAATTTTAAGGATGGCATAGGATGGGATAGGGTTCAGATATGTTGTTCATAGGGTCACTAGGGGTTGTACTCAACTTGATCACATCTAACAACAACATATTTGGGTTAAATCATACCTATCATGATTAGGTCTTGAAAATCATGTATCTGAATTTCTGTGCTATTGAGCAGACTGTTGTTAGTTGCTATCCAGTTGACTCTTAAGTCACAGTGACCTTATGACCTTATGGAACGGTTGCCCTATCCTTGGTCATTCACAAGATTTCTGCTATGTTCAAGCCCACTGCTGCAGTCATTGTGTCAATCCATCCCATTGAGAGTCCTCCTTTCTTTCACTGACATTCTCTTTTTCAAAGCAAGATTTCTCTTCTTAAGAATTAGCCTCTCTGGCACCCAAGTAGATATATGCATACCCATGTTTATCACGGCTTTGTTTACAATAGCAAGGAGTTGGAAACAACCCAAATGCCCATTAACAAACGAATGGGTAGAGAAGCTGTGGTATATTCGCACAATGGACTATTATGCTGCATTGAAAAACAAGGAACTCATGCAGTATTATTCAAAATGGGTGACCCTGGAGGACATTATGCTGAGTGAGGTATCTCAGTCACAAAGGGACAAATGCTATATGGTGCCACTATTGTAGAATGAGGCTGGTATCGGGGTAAGACTGAGAAAAACTGGATGAAATATGTTTACGGCATTGAAGTCTTTGGGGGAGAGAATATTTTATATTTTAGGGCATTATGTTTATCGTAAGAGTACGGAATGAGGGTTGCAGAGTGGATTATATTTGGGGGGGTGGGGGATGTGTGTGGGGGATTGCGTACCAATGAGGGAGTTTTTCTTTTGCGTTTGAAGGAGAGGAGCAAATGGGGGGTGGGGGGGGATGCAACAATGAATGAATGGAATTCCAAAATCTCTGTAGATGTTCATTGAAATGAAAAATAAAGAAATAAAAAAAAGAATTAGCCTCTCCTGATAATATGCCCAAAGTGAGAGAGCTAAAGCTTCACTACCATTCTTTCTAAGAAGCACCCTGGTTATACTTCCTCCAAGTTAGGTTTATTTGCTTTTTTGCCAGTTCAAGAATGCACAATTCTCTGATCCAATATCACAATTCAAAGGAATCAATTTCCCTTGGTCTTCCTTATTCACGGCTCAATTTTCATAGGCAGAGTAGACTGTGGTAATTAACTTTTAAGAAAACTGTTAATGAAAATTATTATGACTAATAAAAGCCTCCAACTCATTGTGTCTGACTGATAATATTATCTACTCACTCATTGTTGTTAAATTGGAATCGACTCAGAAGCTGACTCTGTAATATTTTTAAGAGTAGACTGCTTATCTTTCTCCTGCAGAACCACTGGTGGGTTCAAAATGCCAGGAAGACTAATAGATTAATGATCCCTATTATCAGAGAGGTGAAGAGAAAGAAACAGTGCATTTATTGTACTCAAGAATAAAGAGAATCTATTACTATTTTAAGACCAATGTATAAGTTATATACTGCTGCCATTTTTTAACCATTTATCAGCTTAATGGCAATGAATATTTTTGTCTTTTCCTTCTTATTCTCTGGCTAGAAAAATTTTTGTTATGGGAATGCAACAGATGTTCATTTTCTGACTCACCAACAATATCAAGTTGAGTTTCTTCATCCTCTTCTCTCTTTCTTTTCTTATCTTTGTTCTTCTTCTTCTTACTGCAGGAAATAATTTGTTGAGATGGATTTAGATACATTGACTTTTATGCTAAGTATCACAATATGTAAACCTAAGAGACTACCTTAAACTGTACACTCATGAACAAACTGTTGAGTTCCAATGATAAACTTCCAGCACTGGGAAGTCACTCTGGCCACACACAACTTGTCCCTCCTTGCAACATGTCCAAAGTATGTCAGATGGAGATTCAGAATCCTTGCCTCCAAGGATATAAAGTTATAAAAAATCAGAAGTATATACTTTGTAAGGATGACTTTCATGACATATGAGTATTTCAATTTAAAAAACTACACTACCAAAGGTGATTTTAAAAAAGATTTAACTCTGCTTTGAATGATTCTTAGAACATAGAAAGTGCTATACTTAACTGTAAATTATGATTGATAGTTAAGATAATTACAAAAATAAACACTTGTTTGCATTTTTAGTATAGTTTCCCAAAACTTATCCTTCACTCTCTGATAAACTGCTCAATGTAAAACCCTTAGACAATGTTCCGAAGAGCATTGATTCTGGCTTAATCCATGACACTTTATTTCTATCTCACTTAAAAGGACTCCAACCAGTTTTCACAGAGACCATGAGGAAATATTCAACGTATGTGTGAACATTCAGCCTCCAAAAAAAATCTTACTACTTAGAATATATGTGGAGATAAGAATGGAATGCATGTGAGAATCTGGGGTTTTTCAAAGTTTCAGAGTACGCTCGGGGGCCAGGGCCAGCCACCAAAGACTTGTAAACGCTCCTACGCGCGTTTCCGGTTTCACCTCTTAGCCTTCGTTCCCTTGAGCACGAGTTTCGTGGACTTGACGTATGAGTATTCCGCCATGATGCTGGTGAAACTTGGAAACAAAACCTGGAAATCGGTTCAGGGCAGAGCACCGCGAGTTGATGCAGGAACACGCGAGGACGGTATAAATGTGGAGACAAAACTGCGGACTCCTTAGAATTTACTGATCGCCGAAGAAGACGCTTCCGTAGTAGAGTTCGTCTCTTTCACGTCATCATCGAAAAATCTCGAGTAGAAAATTGCACTTCCTGTTTACTGGTTAGGAGCTACGGCAACTGCAGAGGGCCTAAAGATGTCAGCGTTCCGTTGCGGCTGCTGCGTGCGGAATATTTGAATGCGTTTTAGGACTTCGCCGAATGAGGACACGTGAACGGCGCGCCCTCTGGTGGATCGCACAGCCACAGTCTTCACAATCTCCCATCCTGCTTGGTTTCAATCTTCAGACTCCTTGACTCCAAGGAGCATTCTGCCTTCACCCTCTCCAAGACAAACCTGTTTGTTCTCCTAGCAGTCCATGATATATTCAACACTTTTCTCCAGCACCACAGCTCAAAGGCATCAATTATCTTTCTGTGATGGCCACACTGTTAGAGGATGTTAGAATGGTAATGCTAAAGGGTGTGAAAACACAATCATCCTACATTTTGGATCAGTGGGGAGGAGGGGCAGGTAGCATGGAGCGAAGCTCCTGGGCCTCGAAGACATCACAGCCATTTAGATTTAAATGTTATGCTGTTTTAACAGGGAAAGGGTGAGTTCTTGTTGTTAGGTGCCATCCAGTCAAATATGATTCATAATGACACTATGAACAAAAGAACTGATCCCTGTGCCATGCTGTGCCATCCTCACACTTCCTGATACACAAGAGCCCATTGCAGTACTCACCGTGTCAATCCACCCAAGTGAGGGTCTTCCTCTTCTCCACCCTCTACTCTTCCCAGCATCATGTCCCTCTCCAAGGAACAAACTCTCTTAGCAACATGTCCAAATTATGTGAGGCAAAGCCTCATCATTTTTACTGCCAAAGAGCACTCCAGTTGCCATCTCTCCAAGACACACTGTTCATTCTCTTGGCCGTCCATGGGATGTTCAGTGCTCTTCTCCAACACCACAGCGTCAAGGCGTCAATTCTTCTGTCATCCTTATTCACTGTCCAAATCTCAGATGCATAGCAAGTGACGGGAAAGACTATGGCTTGAATCAGACGCACCTTAGTTCTCTAACTGACATCATTGTTGTTGTTTATTGCAGTCAAGTTGAGCATGACTCATAGCAACCCTATAAGCAAAAGGCTTGAAGCCTTTCTATAATTATGGTCATCTCTCCAAGTTCATAGAGTTTCCAGAGGCATGTGGTTTAGGAAGTGGATGCCACTCCTGCTTCCAAACTTGACTCAATCTTGAATCAATTTGGGAGCTCCACCAAACATTGCCCATGATGGGTAGCCATTATAGTGTTTGGCACACCTATGGCACAGTTGTTCCATTATGGCATTTGAAACCCAAATGGCACAAGATTTAGTGTCACAGCAAACCCAGATCACATCAAATTGGCCAGAGTGCTGTAAGACTTAGAACAATATTCTGCCAAAGTATAGTAACAAGGGATTAAAATATAAACCTTCAGGCCCAACTTTTAAATATAAGGGCCCCCCAGGACGTCCTGTTGACTCTAAACAAGAGGCTTAAATAAAAACAACCAAACCATCCACACAGATCCTTAAACAAAACAAGAGCACCGTTTTACAGACCCCAGCTGCTTCATCCAACTCCAAAGTGGAGACAAGGGCTTTGGCGTTATATGTTGTTGTTAAGTGCCATCTAGTACCAACCCTATAAACAAAAGAACTGTTGTCCTTGTTCTAAGTATATAGTTTCCACAGGCATGTTTAGGAAGTGTATGCCTCTCCTGTTTCCAAGCCTGTCTTAATCAGTGAGCTCTACCAAACACTGTCAACCCTTGTTGTTGTTATGTGCCGTCAAGTCGCCTGCGACTCATAGCGACCCTATGTACAACAGCCCTAAACTCCGCTCTGTCCTGTGCCAATCGCACTGTCTCT